AAGAGAAGTGATCTTCTACCCTTTCTAGTGGTGTAAATTGGAGAAATCCTCATGACGGGGGATGCATGGCAGGCTGAATCATACCTGCTCTCCTGCAGGAGCTGTTTGGGCACACAGTCTCACTGGGTTTCAGTGAGAATTAAAATCTCTTGGCAAAACATTGTCCTCTCGATTGAGTTATCCGAGAGCATCTGTCCTCGTCATGCCTGAAGCTGAAAGGAAAAGACAGTAGAGTGTCATTCCAGAGTAGTATTTTATGGGGAGACAAGCCGTTAGTTGGATTGTGACCAGAGCTGTTCAGGATAAGTTCATTAGCATGGTGTTCAAGATAAATTGCAAGTCAAGCACCAGCACCACTGGGTGTGAATGTGCACCCTGACAGGCAATAGGAGAGAACCCTGCTTGTGTGATGTGACTGTGATAATGGCCTTTGTGTTGTCTGTTGTGAGCTAGAGTGACAGGAAAATGGATGAACCTACAACGCCCTGCTTGGGACTCAGTTGATGGATGCTTCCTCTGCAAGTCACATGTGATTTTCATCATTTTTTTCTGTTTTCAGACGTGCCGAAGGATCAGCAGTTTCAGGCTGTCCAGGCTGCTATTCTCCTTCTCCCAAAAGAAAACCGAGACGCTTTGAAAATCCTCCTGTTCTTTCTACGCGATGTGGTTGCTTTTGTTGAGGAAAACCAGATGACCCCAACCAACATTGCTGTCTGTCTTGCACCGTCATTGTTTCACCTCAACACCCTGAGACGGGATAGTTCCTCCTCCTCCACTAGGTATTAGCATCTTAATGCTGGCATTGCTGCTGTCCATAGCGTTCCTTGCTGGAACAATCTCTTCTGGACGAGGATCAGTGTCTGCTTTTAAGGGGGAAATTATGTCAGTGTCTTGGGGTTTGTCTCAAATACGGTTGTTCGGGTCCAGCAGGAGCTGACCACAGCGCAGGCAGCAATCCAGCAGCTCATTGTCCAGCACAGGGAACAATGGTGAAACCCCGTTGTCACGCTCCTGACGAGCCTGCAGGTGAGCCAGCCTGCCTCCCCCGTAGCTGCTGTGCCCTTTGTGGTTGCCCACAGGTCCAGCGGCCCAGGAACCCAGCGTGTGGCCCGCTCCTTGCATTAACGTGGTGCTGGCCATTGAAAATGTAGCTCCTGCACCAGCAACCTAAGCCCAGGTGCAGCTTTAAGGCCCTGCAGATATCTGGCAGACTGTAGCAGTTGCTGGCACTAGTTCTGCTGGGTGATAAGGGGATTGTTCCTGCCAAACGGAGCCACAGGGATGCTGTAAGTTTATCTTAATAAGTAAAAGTATCTGGGTTGCATAACATCCCCTGTTTGTACGTGCAGGGGGGAAGGTGCCCTTGGGCCAAAGTAGACAAATAATCTCTGAGAGCATTCATGCCTTATCTGGTCTCCTGACGCAGGGCTGTTTGCTTTACTCCATGCTCCTGTGTATGGACAGACACGTATCAGGGTAGAAAAGGACAGCCGACTTTGATGGAAACATTGTGCACCCACCAGAGTAGCGAGTTCATCACCTCACATGGGGATCTAAAGAGGAGGACTAGTTCCAAAGCAGAAGCTGTCAGATGTGCTATTGGCATCTTTCAGGATAGTAGCGCAGGCTCTGGATTGCACAGAGAGGGGAAAGAAAACACTAAGGACTTTTCTTTGAATGGCACAAACCATCTGGAAATGCCTAGAGCCCAGGGCTGAGCCGGCACGTGGCCGGGAGCCGCGTGGTCATTGTGAGGGCAGCTGGGGATGTGATGGAGCAGTAGTGGCAGCAGGTCCTTCCCAGATTGCAGTTGCGTTCGAGCACCTGGGAATCATACTTTGAGAGTTGTACCTCTTTGGTTTACATAAACATTATGCTGAAATACTAGGACCAAAAATAGAAACTGAGCTTTCTCTTTGTTGTCACTGCTTAGAAGCCAGGATGCTTCGAAGCTTTAGCTTTTTTGTAACTGGGCATTAATGCGGTAGTGCAGGGTTCCGACTTCAAAGGGTAGAAGCTGACAGGTCTGACTTTGAGGAGCAGCACTGAGGACTCTTATCTTCCATCCAATTTTCAAGCC